TCGTTTGCTGGGTGTGAATATAGCTGGGATACATAAGTATTTTTTTGTGCTATTTTATTTAATGTAGAAAAATTCGATTGCTGACCATTTCACCATTTTAAAAGACATTGAGTACTCGGAATTCTTGGTAATGCAAGATAGACTTGAATTTCATTATTAGCATCTGATTCTTAAATAGATTCATATATTGCAGCTAATAACACATTCTCTTCTTTATCAGGATTATTATTCATTTGTACTGTATCTGCTGGTATTGGTTCTTGTTCTTTAAATGCTTCATATTCAGTTATCAAATAGGCTTCAGCCTCAAGTCGTTGAGAATAAGTTGCTAATTTCATATTTTGGTTTTAGGATCAAGAAGTGTTGCAAGAAGGACTTCACAGATTGGATATTCCCAGTAATAATTTAAAGCATTAAATAATGCAATTTTTACATTTTTAACCATTCCATCACAAGCTTGTGGAATATTAATTTTAATTTGGTTAATTTTTGCTTCAGATTCAACATCAAGTATTTCAGGTTTATCTATAAGATCAATCTTTTCTTTAAGCTCTTGATCATCATTAAAAGCCGTATTAGAGTTATCAAAATTTATATTAACTTGAGTATCATATGTAATATTAAGCAATTTTTTAAGAGATAATATAGTTGGAAAAACATATAATATTGTAGTATATTTACTTCCACCAAGCATTTTTGTAGCATTAGCGAAAGGTTGTAAAACTTTAATTAAATCTTCTATTAATTGCCATTTATCAGGCATTAACATAATTCATTTAAAACATCGTGTATCTTTTCTAACAATAGTATCATTACTGTAACTCATTTTTAATTGCATTACTTCAATTGCTGATTTTAATTTTAAAATTCTCACCCATGCCTTATATGTCAAATCCCATCTTGTTGCAATATTTATTACAACTTTAAGATATTCATGATTATTATCAATACTATCATACACAATATGATTTAAAGATATTTGTGTCATCTCAAGTTGTTCACTTTGTTTAGGAGATGTAAAAAATTGTATCAATCTTTTTGCTTGTACAACTAAGATCTTAACTGGTAATAATTCTTTTCCTACAACTAGTTGCAAAGTATGTGTACTACAGAAAAGACGATTAATATTTTCAATTTCCATAATAGTTTTTTTCATATTTTAGGCATTAACATAATTC